ATAATGTCGAAACATTGAGATTTAAAGATCGTCAGTTTCAATTCCCAGAACAAATTATAATAGTAATGCTCCTTCCTTTCCTGAGGAAAAAACAAAAGTATTCAAATAAACTTACAAGTAAACCTGGTAACAGAAAACGCGAACTGCCAGAAAAATGAGTTCTTAGACCCTTGGCAAGATTTCCAATAGCTTGGATAGCTTCAACTGCAACAGCGATGTTCACGTCTGCTATGAGCTGCACAAAAATGATAGTCCATTGAGAGAAATGGATTGAAGAGAGAAAAATCCCTTTTGTAGTACATCATCTGTACAGTTCCATAGGCAATATCATGCAAAAAGTACAATGTTGAGGTGGGTGGAAGATAAAAATAGTTGCTTCAACTGAAGTACAAAAAATACCTTCTTTAATGTCCGACAGATTTCTGTAAAATCACCAGGAGCAATTCTTTTAGTGGAAGCAAGCTTGGTTAGCTCTGCAACAGCCTCCTTTCTCTCTGACCACTTCGTAGCTTTCTAGAGCACAGTGACAAAATTGACAACAATAAGCAGCATAGGAAGACAACATGCATAACTTGAAAAGTTAAAAACCACAATTTGATGTCACAGTTTCTGATGAATGTAGCATCAAATTCACATTCACTATGAAACACAAATAGCTACACGTTAGGATAGGGAGATAACACTGACCACTCCGTCCCAAAATCCAGACTTCTCCAATGGAGTCAATATATCAACAGGATCAACAAGCTCGTATTCATCTATTTCCGGAGGAGCTGACAATCATGAAACATTGAGATAAGTATGAGAAAATGTGAAAGAACAAAAAAATCAAAAATCACACTGCGATGCCTAGAAGCCTGGCATATAAGATTCTTTTCTCCCATCCAACACAACAATATCTAAATACTGTACTAAAATATCATTTTCGAAAGGAAAAGCATCTAAAAGTCCCAAGAGTCGATCACATACCATCAGCTGTAGATTCGTCAGAAGGACCAGGACCAACAACTTCAGAAACAGCTTCCCTTTCTGGCTCCTTGTCTTGCTCGGATCTAATAAATAGAATTAAAATAATCTAGCTTAAGATATACAACAAAATAGATGTGTTCTGGCTTCAGTTAAAACACATTACCAACAAAGTTTTCACCTGATTTTGCGAGATGGCCTGGCTGTCCCTGTAACATTTGTGAGCTCAGCCTCCAACTCTTTTTTCTTCAACCAAAAAAGTGGACAATGTAATTATTCGTTTTCCTAAGAAAAATTGACAAAACGGTGCGCACAACATAAAAATACTTAGCATACCATTGTATCCCTCATCTTCTCAAACAATATTGATTTTACAGGGTCTTTTCCTATCCAACGACAAAGCTCAAGAGTAAGTCCTTTAGAAGATGCACGAACATGTTGATCTTGATGGTCAAATAGTTCAGGAAGCATCTTCAAAATCCTTTTTGGAGGAACAACTTTTGCTCCAAATTCACTATTACAGCAAGTAATAATGCATACCAGTTAGAGAATCAAGTAAAAGAATTGAAAAATAGTTTTCACAAAAGCAAAAAAAAAAATACGTGGGAAAACCTTAAGGCCTGAAACATGACATCAATTGCAGGCACAACAGCTTTGGAAACTTTGTTTTTTATTGCTTTCTCCATGGCATCCTACAACAAACCACAACCATCGTAAAGGTCCCCAAGAAAATTGATCAACAATAGCAATCGGAAATATGACTATCCCAAGATTTCATTAGCACACCAAACACAGTAAACATACTAAATAAATTAATTACATTCCACACAAATAATCCCAACCTCATTCCATGCCTGTTTTCAATTGCTCTAGACACCAAATAAACAACCTACTCTGGTGTATAAATGCCTGACTTGATTTACATACTCCAACCAAATAAGCCTGCCCCACCCCCTTCTCCCTTCCTTTCTCTCGTCTAAAGTACATATATGCCTACACACGGACCAGGAATAAGCTGAACTTCCAACCACAATAAGGCAATGCCCACATTCTATTGCACATAAAATGCCTGCTGCCAAATTTTGATATTGAAACTTAGACCATATGTCTGTAGTTAACAAGCCCTTCAAGCCACATGATCAGAATTAAGAAAAAACTGCAAGGACTAATCAAATTCAACGAAACAACCACCAACGCTTGACATCTTACTGCTGCTGCTACTACTAATACTACATTATATCAGAGTTCACTTGCAAACTGTCATAACATAAAAAACACTCCAAATTGTGAGACTAGTAACTACAACACTTCACATAATAGAGATCTTTATGCCAATTGCTCGTTCTCTTAATGGAGCATATTATTTTTATTCAAACAAACCAAAAAGTATAAGTTATGCTGCATAACGTACTAAGAAAGCGTCCACAGCCTCCAATTCAACCCAAAGCATAAATGCAGCTTGAGCCTTCTCCACCGTCTTCGGCCTACCAGTGAGGCATTTCGCCACAATCGCATCACAAACTTCCTTACCATATCTGCAAATACATAAACGTTAAGCTAACAAATCCAAACAAAGGCTTGTTAAAAACCAAATTAAAATAAGAAGAAAAATAAAATGAATTAACCTTCCGGCATCAGCATCCGCAGCTCTTAAAAAAGCAACCAATGCATCGAGCGCCTTCTCTTGCACCGGCGAATTAGAATCCACCAGAGTCTTTCTAAAAAGCGGACCTGACCAAAACAACCAAACACAAAAAAACTGTAAAAACAAAATGCAAAATGCAGAGCGTTCATGACCAGCAATGAAAATTTATCTCTTACCAAATTCACGAAGGCGAGGGTCCTTGGGATCGGCGATGGAGTCGCAGAGAGCGGCCAAGTCAATGTTGGCCTCGTTCCTCACCTTCCAGTTCTTGTGGAAAAGCCGATCATCCCAAGGCAATTTTTTCGCCTCCTTCAATAATTTCTCTTCCTCCGACATTTTTCAAAAAAAAATTGAAAAATTCAGAGAGAAACAAAAATCCCTCTGTACCCTAACAATCTGATCTGCACAAATGCAAATGCAAATGCAGATATAGAGAGAACGAACTCAAAAGAATAGACACGATACGACGGGTCGATTGCAACAGAGAAAATTATGTCCCTGTTGGGGATAAAGAAATAGATCGAACCGCTCGGGTGTCAGTCTTCCAAGGAAGATGAAAAGGTAGATCGGGATCCAGAATTTTGAACAAGGAATTTGAAACGAAACCTAATTTTGTTAAGAGTGAGAGATTTTAACAAATGAGAGTGTTGGGCAAGAGAGGAAGAGAGAGCGAGAGCCCAATCGAGGAGAGAAGAAATGCCGCTGTTGCTGTTTGGCTTATTTTAGACGGCAGCCGTTCTAATTTTTTTCAATTTCTTTTGAAATTTTCTGGCCGTGCGATTAGAGTTTCCCCGTTGTGGTGTCGCGATTTTGACCTTTTATTTCAAATTAAAGGCCGCTCTTGCAGGAGCTCCACGGTATGGAGCTGCGACTGTCGCGCACAGGATGCTAGCCCTGTACTCGTGACGTCAGTTTTGGGTGGTTAACATCACTCAAAATCAAATTTTCCCCATTAAATGTGACTTTTTTCCTCAATTTTAGAATAGCAATAGCCAAAGTTTGTTATTTGGTTAGCAATTGTTTTGACCTCAACTTTGCTTTTAAAAAAATTTCCGAGTTATGTTTATATTACCTTCATTTATTTTTTTGAACATTTAAATTTAAAAAATTCAATATTTATCTATCTAAATCTTTTTTTTCAGATTAGATTAAAGTAGAATATTGTTTGTATAAAAAAAAATTTGTAAAATATTCAAAATACTACAAGATACCCTTAGTTAATGAAAATGTTAAGAATTGAAAATATTAATGAGGATAATATAGTAAATTTTTACTTTTTCATATTAAAAAAATTCAAAACAAAAAGCAAAATCAGAACATGGGTCATATCTCTATAAACCACAACTAAACCCATTTTATCTTTCTTAATTCTAAAATTATAATTCTAAACTAAAAACAAAAGTAAAAAAAAAAATCAATTGGCACACATGTGGTGCTAGATACAAGCGATAGTCTAAACTACAAAGGAAGGGGATTTTTCACACATGCATTATCAAGGTATCATGTGGATTCGACTCTAGGACCACTAAGTCAAGGCCCTCTTTTCATTAGATTAGACCTCGTTGGGGGATGCTAGTGCATATAATTAAGGAAAAGAAATAAAATGATAAATAAAACATTCAAAATTAGGGATCACAAGAATCCCTGTCGAGTCGAGTCCCCGACCCTAATGGGGAGCAATCTCGGGAGAAAATTGAGAGCGAGTACGGAGATCCCCAAATTCTAAAAATCCCCGGTCATGATGGGTCGGGGATGATATTGTTATCCATATCCTTGAGCATGGCCGCCCAATATGTAATATAATTAATTTTAAGTAATAATATATATATATATAGATAATGTGTGGGTTCTCAATTTAAGTTTCGCACAGGGTCTTCAAATTCTCAGAGTCGGTCCTGTCTCTACGTGCCACTAGTTTCTTTAAATGCATTTTCCTTTTTTGTAATCGATATCCAATTAACAAACACATCAACAAAACTACTTACACATATATCTTCCTTTAAATTTCTGTCGCAAATTTGATGGTCAAAGTACTTTGTTTTATTCATCATGGAATTCGTTGTCTCGTGTTAGTTAAATAGATATCTTTACATGCTTTTTTTTTTCTTGTTGAACAAGGAAATAATCACATTATTTGTCGCCCTCCATTTATTTTATTTTATTTTATACAAAGCGATATTGTACTTTAATATAATCTAAATTATGGAGAGGGAGATTCAAACTCAAGTGCATAGTGGGGAGCATATTCGCTCTATCCAACTTGGCTATGCCCACGTATGCGCCCTCCCTTTATTAGTAAGCTAATATGGGCATGTTTGAGAGTGATTTTGGCCCTCCTAAAATCACTTACAAAATCACTTACCGTCTATTTGGCAAAAGGAAAACAAGTCGGGGATGAAAAGGAAAATTCGTGCGTTTGGCAAATTCTGCTCGAGATTTGACAAATCACATGTGGGAAATATGGAGGGATTTCCTAATCCAAAATCCCGAGTTCAAATCCTATCATAATTGGCTGAATTGTGCAACAAGTGTGAGAAATTGCATTTGCTGCTCGCCAAATCTCCTCGACAAATACACCCATATCAGTTTTCTAACGAAAGTGGGAAAAGAAGGCCATCCATCCAAGTTTCGCTTGTGAGCTTTCAATCTAGTTGCAATTTTTAATTTTTTTATCGATCGATCTATCTCTAGTTTGTTTTTGTTATCTGGTTCTTTATCTAATGGGTTTCCAGTGTTTTATATTCAAGTTAATTATCTTTTTTTTATCTAATAGAGAGAATCTTTGGTTTTCAGATTATTGCCATCTCTGCCTTTCAATCTAAGACTCGGTGTTGTTCCAATAAAGGTATAGTCTCAACCTATCCTTTCTTTTCAATTTTTTTTTCAATAACAATTTATGACTTCAGATTATGGGTTGATTATGTTTATTTGTTCATCACCCTCTATGTTGTTATTTTGGAATGTGAATGTGTGCTTAGGAGAATGGTTGGGTTGATTCAATTGTAAATAAAGTTAAACATCACAAGAGAAGTGTGTGAGGGGAAAATTCAGTGTTTTTTCTTTCGTTGTAGATATTCATGTTTTTGTTATTTCATAATTGAGGAAGAAGGTTGTCTTAATAAAAGGATAAGATTATATGTTGTGACATTATAATTATTGTTTTTTGCACTTTCTGGCTACATAATTTTACTCTATATTTATGATATGGGTTCATCAGTGTTTGTTTTGGTTGAGGAGATTATAGCTCCCTTGTTATGCTATAGAAGCCCTCACCAATCATACTTATATTTCTTGTTTTCTTTAAACTCATTGTATTGATATCTCTATTCATTTGTAGTATTTAATGCACGAATCAGAAGTCAATTGTCCAATTGTTCAGTGGATTTAAATATGTTTTTGTGTTGAGTGATTTGTTTTGGGTGTGGTGTGGTTCTTGAATGATCCAGGGTGCGTTAAGGTGGACACATAATGTAAATTTTGTCTATATTTTCTGCTAGTTAATAATTGTCTTAAATTGTACCATTATTTGAGTCATCATATTCAGATTCATATTCACCCAGCTTCCACTACATTTAAACATAGAGGTTATAGTTAGATGGTAATTGGAGTCGTTGCATGTGTAGCAAAGAGTTATCAGTTTCTCTTATTTGGCTAGTATGACTAATTAGTTCTACAATGACATTTTTGTTGGTGTTTGATATGACTACATAATAAGATTATTTGGAAATATAAATATGTATGGCTAGTGATTAAGTAGATAACTTTCTTACACGTTTAAGTAGCAAGTGTGCTAGAGATGAAGAATAAAATAGCGACAAAATGTACATTATTCTTGGTACGATTACATCTGTCATTGCTATAGTTGTAGCATGGTATAATGAAACTTATCTGGTCAAAGAGCCTTCACGTGATTATGATCAAGAAAGACGATGTTACTTGAACCGTATGTATAATAGGAGGGAGGTTAATTTTATTGAACAAGTACGAGTTAGCAAAAATACATTTAAGAGTTTATGCACTATTTTGCATGGAAGTGGTGGATTGACTCCAACAAGAAATGTTTCAATTGAAGAGTCTGTGGCTATTTTCTTAAATATACTGGTGCACAACTTGAAGTTTAGGGTCATTGGTTTTGACTATTATTGCTCTAAAGAAGCAAATAGTCCACAATTTAATAGTGTGTTGCATGCAATTATGAGAATAAGTCAAGATTACTTGAAACTTCATCCATGTGCTATAAGGTGGTTCATAAAGAGACAAGTGGGAGTGGTTTGAGCTAAACAAAAATATGTTCTTGTAATTACATTAAAAGTATTTGTTTTTATGTTTTTCTTTCATGTCATTAGAATTGTATATGGGCACTAGATGGAACTCACATTCCAGTAATAGTGTCTGCTGAGGAGAGACCAAGATATCGAAATAGAAAGTGAGATATTTTACCAATGTTTTAGGAGTTTGTGATCCTGATCTAAAATTCATCTATGTAATATATGGATGGAAGGGTTATGCTTCTTATGCCCATGTTTTGCGAGATGTTTTAGCCATGGATAATCCATTTCAAGTCCTAAGTGGTAATTTATGATACTCGTTGTTAATTAAGCACAAACTTAGATATAAATAACTAATTATTCTTTAAAACTTTTTGTATTGTAGATAAGTATTATCTTGTGGATGCGAGATATGCTAATGGACAAGGTTTTTTGACTAGATATCACTTAAATGAATGGAGGTCATTTGGTTTTTAAAAAAGCGATGGAGTATACTGCATACCCCTTCATTTATCGACATCAAAACCCAAATTGGGATTATAAATGCATGCTTTGTGTTGCATAACTTTATCCGACTCAAGCAACATAATGACCATGTGTTACAAGATCAATATTTGGGTTTTTAGCTTCTGTGGATCATGAGATATCAAATCATTCTATGTTAGAGGGTAATGCAAATAGGATTACAAGTGTTCAAGTTACTGATCAGTAGACTACTTTTCGTGGCACGTTAGCATTGTAGATGTTTCATGATTATCAAGCACGAGGCGCTACGATTTCATGATTTTTCAATTTGAACTTTTCATGTTTTAATTTGAATAAGTGTTTTTACTTCATGTATTTAATTTTTAACATTTTTATCAATTTGAATAAATTTGTGAATGATATTTATTAATGTTGTTATAATTATTTCAATGACATAAAATGGCAAAGAAAGCAACCAAACTAAAGCAGAGGAAAAGAAAAGAGAAGCAATGTAATAAACTTGAAGGAGATGACAAATGTTATTGATGTTGGAACATACAAATGGATGGTTCATTAGTAGAGATACTTAGAGAAGAATGTCATATTGTCTGCCCAATACAATATTGAAGTAAGTGCCAATAACATTAAAAACCGTGTCAAGACATGTAAAAGGTTTTATGCTGTAGTCAGTGACATATTAAGTCAGAGTGGATTCAGTTGGAATGCAACAAAAAAGATAATCACCATAGATAAAGAGAACATTTGAAACGAGTATGTGAAGGTAATTACACCTTTTTGGATGACTAGGATTTTTTTTGGTAAATTTAGAGTTATTTAACTTCTTTCTTTCTTGATAGTCTCATGAAGATGCTAGAACTTTTCGATATAAAGTAATTGCAAATTGGGATGATATAGTGGATTTATGTGGCAAGATAGAGCTACTAGATAGGATGCTGAAACATGTGTTGAAGCTAGGGGTGGGCATTAGAACCGCAAAACCAAACCAAACCAATCCAAAAAAACTATGCTGAGCAGAAAAGTCAAAAACCGAGATAAATCCAAACTGAACTGGTTCAGACCGGTTCTAGTTTCGGTTTTCCACCCAAAGGAATCGGTCCAATCCGAACCGGACCAGCTAAGTTATATATATACAATTCCCTTCAGTTGAGGAATCCCTCAAATAGTGTTATTTGAGGGATGGGGCGCTCAGCTGTTAGATGTCTTTTAATGAGATTGTGCAGTTGTGATTGTTTTAAAAGTTGTAACCCGTTTTCACTCAAATGACCCGCAAAAGACCGAAGTCAAGCACGCACGCAAAAGGGGAAACGAAGGAAGAGGAAGAGCCAGCCCTTGCAAGCTGAAGGGCAAATCCACCATCGCCAGCTGAAGAGCGGACCCGACAATCAGGTATGGGTATCGATATCGATGGTTATTTTTCTCTCACTTTTCTCCATCTGGGTTGTGGTTTTCGATTAGGGGTTCTTTAATATGAGTTTGAAGATTTCTGCTCAAGGTTGAGATTATACTTGATTTCTCGTGGGTTTCTCGATTTTGAATGGTTATGAGAAAATAAGAAACAATTTGATCTTCTGTTAATTAATAAGGAATGCATTCAAATCCTGTGGGATTCACACTTTGATTTGTGAATTAATTTTTTTTTCCACATTCATGTCAATTTCCTCTACTTTCTGTTGATTTCTATTGGGTTTCATTTTTATTTATTTATAAGAAATTGCTTGTAAAATTAGAGAATGAGTTCTAACGGTAGGCAACCAAAACAAAAACAAACAAAAAAAGTCAATTTCATATTCGGATATCAAATAGTGAATGGGCTTGTGTGCCTTTCAATGACAAACAATTATAAGCATTATTTTTTAGAAATCTGCATGTACAAATGTATGAAGTCGCATTCATGTCATGTTCTTTTGCTTTGGCATGTCATGTCATGTTCTTTTGCTTTGGCATGTCATATTGGAATTGTTGTATGCCTTGATACTTGTGTATCAAGTTGTGGGAGAACACTTATAAGCAAGGACAACATGTTTTTTTGTTTCATTTTCACTGTCTGCCCATAAGGCAGTTGTGGCCTTGTTTCTCCCCTTCTTCAATGATGATAGACAGTACTCGATTGCCTTGATTCATATAAATTGCAAGAACTAGATCACAATAAGAATCTCGGTCTCTTGTGTCTCTGTATGCGGCCTGTGTGTGTATAGATGATATTTGTTGGTATTTCTGACTCCATCCTTGTAGGTTCGATTGTGCGAATTAGAAAGCAGATGTTGTCTTCGTCTTGGCATAGGTTCACATAGAAAGTATTGGAGCTATTGCTTTGTGAAAAAAACCGTAGAGACTTTGTTAGCCGTAGTAGGTGAGCACTAAACTGTATATAATCCTTTTTCCAAATTTTGTCTCATATTATGTTTACAATTACAACCTATATTAGTGATGCTTTCAATAGTTAAATGATAAGCTCTATTTAGTTGATTAAGGTGTTACGAATATATTTTAGTCGTTTAAGTACACATGCAAAATTGTTTTTGTACTTGCTTATGAGATTGCTTATGAATTGTTAATATGCATTTGAAATTGAAATTGTTTTTGTGCTAGATAAAAAGTCCAATAGTAGCAGTGAAGTTCATGAGGAAATTTTATGGAGATAAGGTCTCTCTCACAGATATGAATCAGAATGTTTTGATTTGAAATGCATGTATGGTTGTGGCAAATTTCTGTAGAAGAAGAGCTTCGAAGGAGCAAACATGATTTAGTTGTTTTCATTGCAATGTTTGTAATCCATAAGAAAGTGCTATATTCAGTGTGGAAACAATAATGATCAGAAATTTATGGTTGATGACATGAGTTTGTTTGCAAAAAATATATGTGAACAGTGATGATTTGTCATGTGACTCTCAAGTCTGACTAGGAGCATGCGTGGCTTTTGTGAATTATGCAGAAATTTGAATAGCTCAAAACTGCCATGAAGCTCTTTCAACCATCAAACGTTGATAATTACAAGTCCCAAGTATGATAAAACAAACTTTAGATTTACATCACCTAATCTAAGGCATTGAGATACAATTTACACGCTTAACAAAAGAAGTATCACTAAAACATAAATGATCATGATTTCATAGAAACTCTGAGCCACGGCCTCAGTCTACTAAAGCCAAGCTTAACATTTTCGGGCAAAAATGATCGTCTCGTTCGGTTTAGCCATATAGCCTGCAAGAAAACAAAAACAAACGAAATAGATAAATACCTTCAATTATCATATTTTCTTCCTGCAATTACAAAACTTTCATATAACTCAAACACTATAAACATCTGAAAAAGAGATACACTCTAAGTACTTCAAAGCATTTATAGTCATTTTAATG